ATCTACTGTTGCATTATTCTTTTATAGTGCAGATTTAAGGCCCCACTATGAAAAGCAATTATGCTGTCAGAAAAGTGTATTTTGACTTATTAAAAAATCTGAAAGGTTTCAGAAAACTATTTATTTAGGTTCTCATTGGGAGAGTATTTTGACAGTGCTTAGAAAGAAAGCACTTTTCTGTTGCATACTATTTGGAATAGCCTAATAAAGCCTTTCTTCAAAGTGTATGTGGAGTAGTAGAACAAGCACAGGGCAGGGCATCAAGAAGCCCTGAGTGTTACTCCTGAAGAGAAGCCTTGGGCCTCCCTGTCCTCATCTGAAAAATAACAGAGTTCCTCGCAGTAATTTCTAGGGTAAAAGGAGCATAGAGATTCTATGATTATAGCTGCCTGTAGTGAACACTTACCATTCTCATACACAGTTCTAATAGGTATATGTCCAACCCTGAGAGATAGACCATATTATTCCCATTCTTTAGATAAGTAAACTGAAGCTTAAAAAGTTTACATGGCTTACCCAAGATTACATACTACATGCTAAATTTGTGACCCGGAATGCTATTCAGAGAAAAAAAGAACATAGAATAAACTATTGGTGTATTCAACAATGTGGATGGTTGACTGACAGAAGTCAGATATAAAAGAGTCATACTATATAACTTCATTTATATGAAGTTCAAGAATAGACAAAACTAATCTTTGGTGATATAATCAAGAGTTGCCTAAGGAGTGATGGAGAGTGAATGGAAAAGAGCCACATAGGAGTTTTCTGGGAGTGATGAATATATGCTAAGTATTGATTGGGATGGTTACACAGGTGTAGACATCAAAGCTCAAGGAATCCAATGTTTAAATTCAGTGCATTTTATTGCATATAAACCTCAAAAAAAAAAGTATGTGGCTGGTGGGCAGTTTGTGTGGCTTGTGAGTCCTTTGCACAGATGCCTATCTACAAAGACTCTGCTCCTCCTAAAATGGGATAAGCCTGGTGCAGTGTGTCCTCCCTTGGGAACCAAGGGAACTGGTGCAGGGGTCTTCTCTGTCAGTTGTTCCTCTACCTACACAGATCTCTGATGCTAGGGAAGACCTCTGCACTGAGAGAATGAATGTTTGAGGCCTGTGTTTGCACTTTCTTCCTGAATGACCTTAAGTAAATCACGTCTTTTCTTAGGAGTTTCCTAAAATTTAGGAAATAAAAGGGTTAAATTTTAAAAATAAAGGGTTTAGATGTAGTAGTCTTTAAGCTCCTTTCTAGCTCTAAGCTTCTCTCACTTTGTACTAAGGGGTTGTTTCACATCAAGCTCCCATGCCTGGTTGCTTTCATTATAGAAAGCTGGACAGAATGCAGGAAAGAGGCAAAAACTAAAGGGAGATGGTCCAGGTGGGATATGGATTTAGTCCATCCACATTCTCTCATATGGTCATTATCAGTGAAATAGTGTGAAATGTGTAACAGTAGGATGAGGACTCTGATTAAGATTCCAATTTCGTTCCCAGTCCATGGCTGGGATCAGCACTCAGCTGTATGTTATTGAGCCCACTTCGGTATGTCCTCTCTGTTTTAGACACTGTGCAGTGCCCTTAATGGATAGTTCTTCATCTCATTCTCACAACAATCCTGTGGAGAAGGCATCATTATCCCATTTTATAAATGAGGACATTAATGCTCTGAAGGGTTAAATAATTTGCTTGAGGTTACATGGCTTTCCTATGGTGTAGCTGGAATCTGATTTCATAAATCCCTACACTGAACCTCTATTTTAACAGACATTGTCAACCTAAAGTTACCCTATGGCAGGCAAGGGTAAGAGGTTTAGTTTGTGACCAAGATCATTGATCAGTGATAACACAGGGTTAGAAAGACTTTGGCAGACATTATTTTTGAGAAACATTGTGGATCAAAAGAGAAATAAATTCTAGATTGGATGGAAAAGAGAACTATTTTCTTGGCACCTACTATTTGTTAGGCAGTAAGAGGTAGAATAGGAGCAACTAGAAGATTCTTATTTCATTGAATTCTAAAATATCCCATTTGCTATAGGTATTACCAGGCTTGTATAGATCGAATGATTGACCCAAAGTTGACAGACTTAAAACATTCTCTTAATTGAGCACCTAATCCCAATTCTAGTCCATGGTGTATGTGTGTGTGTGTGTGTGTGTGTGTGTGTGTGTGTGTGTGTGTGTGTGTGTGTTGGGACAGTATATACGCACAACAGAATAAAAGTTGTATGGGAGCTAGAGAAATCTTCAAGCAAATTCTTTTCTTTTTTATTTTTTTGAAGATTGTATTTATTTATTTGAGAGAGAATGAGAGATAGAGAGCACGAGAGGGAAGAGGGTCAGAGGGAGAAGCAGACTCCCTGCCGAGCAGGGAGCCCGATGTGGGACTCGATCTGGGGACTCCAGGATCATGACCTGAGCCGAAGGCAGTCGCTTAACCAACTGAGCCACCCAGGCACCCTCTTTTCTTTTTTTAATTGATATGAATGGTACCAAAAATTCACTAACTTGTTTTGGTGATATTCTCATAACTATTAATGGTTGTAATTTCAAAACGCCAAGCTATCTATTTGAAATATGGCATAGAAAATAAAACACAGATGAAGTTATTTTATAATATATTTGGATCCTGTTCCCTGGCCAGTTAATTGTAGAAATAGCTTTCAGAGTAAATTGCCCTATGCAACCTCTTCCAACTTCCTAATAAAATATACAGGAAAGACAAAGAAATAACAAGAACTTATAATATCCATAATTAGAATGACAATCAATCTATTGCCAGAAACTGGGAGTTACCTCTATGAACTCTAATAACTGCCAGAGCTGGGTTGAAGAAAACAGTCAGTGGTCTACTTACGCTTTGTCTCAAGAAATAGAGCAGGCCCCCCCCACCACCTAAAAGAAGGTAGAAAAACCACTTCATCTCTAGACCACTATCTCTGAGACTTAGGGGCTGTAAGCCATTAAAAACTGGAAGCCATTCCTCTACTTCATCAGCATTGCTATTGGAGGCAGAGCACTTTCTCCTTCAATCCCTGCCCAACACCATCTCCCCCACCAAACACATCTAAATGTACCTATTCAATAATTTTAGCTCCCAGAAAACATCTAGACATCCCTGATAACATCAGATGGAACTGAAATCAAGGGCAACTAGAAATGGTATATTGCATCCTAGGGAATGCTATCCTCATTTGTAAAATAAGGTAGTCAAGCACAAAAAACATAAACTAGTAGCTCTGCCAGCTAGAACTAGTAGCTTTGGATTCTTGTATGCCTGTTTGTTCATTCATTATGCTCCAGAGAATAAAGAAATATATCTTAGAGGAGACCCCATCTTACTATATCACGGACTGGATGTGTTAGTTTGGGTGCTTTGAGAATGGGACATCAAAATAGTATAGATGAGCAATAATTTTAGTAGGGGAAATGCCTGTGGGAGATAATGGGGTGGGACCTGCAGGAGGCTGGGAATGGTCAGACTGTGATGCAGGTACTCAAGGCAGGACCTGGAGTGAAGGAGCAAGGGAAGGAAGGAAAGGAGCTTGTATAAAAGTGTTTTAGACTCAGTGAGTTCTAAGGCAAGATCGACAAGGTGAATAGGGAGTCCAAGAGCCAAATCTTCCTGCCAGAGGAGTTCCCTATTACCCAGGAACAAGGCAGCCTTAATATCCCAACTGAGTTCAGTCTTTGCTCAGAGTGGCCCATGGAAAGCATGGCTTCAGTGCAAGCACAGCAGTGGGTTTCAGTGTAGCAGTTGGACTTTTAGTCAATTATTGTTCTTGCATGAGAAACACTTCTATGGCTGCCACATTTAGAATGAGTCTGGCAGGAGTACACAACTTAACTTTGTGTTGTAAACTTGAGGAGGAGATATGAACATCTTGATGGGAAATGCCACATCCTATATTTCATCAATCATAAAGACTAGATAAATACCCATAAATTTTAGCTTTTGACAAGGTTGGTAGAGGAGAGATTTATGAACCCAAACAGAATTGAGTCTATTAAACATTCTTATCACTTTCTCATTTAACTCACTTATGTAGTCTATGGAATAAGTGGATGAATCTTTGGGGATGATTATAAAATACTATAAATTTAAATAGGTGGTGACTACAATTACAGCTGTTGTTCCAGAAGTGATACAGTCACTGGATGATATCAGTACTATTCCTGGCACCTGGTATAACCTATTGCTTTGGCAAATGTCTTCCTCTTTATCAGTTTCAAGGACTACCAGAAGCAGTTTGTTTTTATCTGACAGGGACTATCACATACATTTCCTATCTTTTTATAGGGCTATTTTGACCCTCCTGCTTTTTATCCTAATCTGGTCTACAGATATCTTGATCATCTTGACATCCTGCAGATCATCCCACTTGTACAATATATTGTATAATAGCAGTATTTTGAGAAGGAAGGTTCTAGTACCATAGATGCTTTAGAAGACACATGTATGACAGAAGGTAAGAGATAAAACTTTATAAAAAACTAGGAGGCTATTATTTCAGTGAAATTTTTAAGGTGTCTAGGAGTCTGGAGCATATTGAAATATCCCTCTAAAGTGAAAAATAAATTGTTATGCTTCATAGTATTTACCTCTAAGAAATATGCACAATGATAAAAGTGGGCCTCCCTGGAATTTGGAGGCAAAATATAGCATATATGACTGTGTAGTACTGGTCCATTTACTGAGTAACCTGTAATGCCGCAAGTTTTGAGTGGAGCTCACAGCAAGAGAAGGCTCTGCAGTAGGATCAGCCTGTAGTAAAAGGTGCTTGGGATCTTTCAACCCAAGGGATCCAAAATGACTGGCAAATGGCAAGCTCCAGTAGAACAATCACAGAGTAGTAAACTAAAGCAAATGAAGTCGTAAGATAAAGACTAAACGTTTGCCCTTGGGACATCAGGTGATCATGTGGCCTGGGGTGTTCATCAAGAACTGTGTGTAATCTGACCCGCCACGCCATAAATTTGGGCTTATAATCCACCAACCAGTAAGTCCAGTAAGTCCTGAAGTCACAAGTCAACTGTGTAGACCAGGTAGCTTGGATTCCTATAGCATCTCTTCCTGCAGCATTGCTTCCTTTTCTTCAGTCCAACTCTGACCTCATAGGAAGGAAGTTCCAAAACTTGGGTGTGGTTTACGAATGGTTTTGTGTGTCATGCTGGCAACAATCAGAAGTGGACTGCTGTAGTTTTACAGTCCCTAATCAGGGGTGTCCTGGAAGACAATAATAAAGTGAAATCCTTCCAGTGGTCAGAACTTCAAGTAACATATTTGGTTGTTCACTTTGAACAGATCGATAGTCTTCACTGATTTATAGCCTAATGGTTTGTCTAGATAGATGATCAGGGACTTGTAATGAACAGGATTAGAAGACTGTTGTCAAGGTGATCTGGGCAAGAGTTATGAAAGTGGAATTGCTGGAATGGAAAGAGTGTGAAGATTATGTGAATGCTCACCAAAGAATACCCAACTGCACAGGAGGTTCTCAACAATTAGGTTAAGGTAATATATTCCTTGGATGCCAGTAAATCCCTTATCCAAGGCCTTACTCAGTGAGTCAGTATAAAAAGAAGGCCATGACAGGGGTGCCTGGGTGGCTCAGTTGTTAAGCTTCTACCTTTGGCTCAGGTCATGATCCCAGCGTCCTGGGATCGAGTCCTGCATTGGGCTCCCCGCTCTGCGGGAAGCCTGCTTCTCCCTCTCCCACACCCACTACTTGTGTTCCCTCTCTCGCTTGTGTCTCTCTCTGTCAAATAAATAAATAAATAAAATCTTTTTTTTTTTAAAAAGGCCATGACAACAGGGATGGGGGCTGTGCAAGGATTTACAACATGGACTTTTCCAGAGTATCTAATCTGCTGGTAGTAGAGACCAACACTGATTCCCAGCTAGTCACTCCTAGCTAGTTACCTGGTGGCAGGTTGATTACATAAGATCTCCTTCCATAATGAAGAAGCAGTGATTTGTCCTCACTGGAATGTACATTAATTATGTATTTGAATTTACCTTCACTGTACTCAATGCCTCTGCCAGCACCATCAACCCATGGATTTACAGAATTCCTTCTTCACCTTATGGTATCCCACACAGCATTAATTCTGAAAAATGAATTCATTTTGCTACAAAAATATGTCAGTAATGGGCTCATTCATATAGTACTTACTGGTCCTAACACATACCTCATTTACCAGAACAGTTGGCCTGATGGGTGTGGAATGATCTAACAAAGATTCAGTTCCAGTTCCAGTTTGGAAACTGAAAATGTGGGATTTTCTCTTATACAATATCATGTATGTTTTGAACCCATGACCAACATATGGTGTTTTTTCTCACACAGGCAGAATATATGCATCTAAGAGTCCAGGGGTAGAAATGAGATTGGTTCCTCTTATATTACACTTAATAACCCAGTCACAGAAATTTTGTTTATCATCCCAACAACATTGGGCTCTGGTAGTTTAGGAGGTCTTAGTTGCTAAAGGAACACAATAATGGTTCCACTAAAGTGAAAGCTAAGACTGTTTAGTGTTCCTTATGCTACTAAACCAAAAGGAAAACAATCCATGCTGCTGTATTGGTTGGGGTGACTGATCCTGATTACTAAGGAGGATTTGGGTTGCTGCAACACAATGGGAGCAAGAAGGAATAATTCTGGAACCTAGAGCATTCTCTAAGATGCCTTTTAGTACTTCTGTGTCCAGTAACAAATGTTAATGGAAAAGTACTACCCAATAAAGTTTCACTGAGGAGGCATACCCTTCAGAAATAAAGATTTGGGTCACTGCACCAGGTAAAGAACACCAAAAAGCTGAGAAATTTGCTGAGAGTAAAGGGAGAATAGAAAGGGTAATTGAAAAAGGAAGTTATAACTATCCTCATACCCTTTGACCAGTTAGAAAATGAGTGCTGCAGCAAATACACATCTCTTCTTCCCTGCTTGTATGCAAGTGTGTGTGTGTGTGTGTGTGTGTGTGTGCGCACGCGCGCGCACGCATATTTCTTTCTTCCTCCCTCCTCCTTTTCCTTAATATTTTATATAGAGTTCATTGTTGGTGATTACTTTAAAGTTATCCTTTAGATTACATATTATTCAAATGGGACTGTGACTAAAAGAGATAACATGACTTCACCTAGAGTTGGAGGCAGTGACCATGGGAACTTTGTGTCCTTCCCTTTTGAAAAGATTGTGAGAACATCTTTATATATATGAAAATTAGCTCCATCTTCCAAGGTGAAAGCATGAAGTGGACATAATTTGTTATATGCCAGTTATTTACCTATTATTTTTCAGTTCCAAATCCACCCTTTAATACTCTGTTCTATAATGTTGCAAACTACATTTCCCAGATGTCTCTTCTATCTGGCTTCCTGTTAGGTTCTGCCAGTAACTAAAGGGAAATTGGAAGGCGGGAAGAAGAGGGGAGAAGAGACTGCTTTTCTGCTTTCTGTGTTTGTTTGCTCCAGCTTCCAATTCTTTTTTTGTTTGTTTGTTTTTTGTTTTGACACTCCTAGAACCAACCTCTCCATGCCTCTCAGAGGTACCATCCACAGACAGGCAATGCTTCCTCCTCAGAGAAATAAATTCAGTGCTACAGAGTCCCTCTCTAAACTCCTAGGTTCTGGTAATTCCAACCCATCCCTTTTGTTCCCCTAATCCCAGCAGTGATAGCAGCTTCCTACAAGTATAATCTCTGGGTTACCTCAGTGTTCCCTTTTTGCACTTTTAGTCCTCCACAGCTGGTAATAATTTTCATATAGTAAATCCTTCTGTTGAAATAGTGTAGTCCAGATTTCTAAATGAATCTAAATGACCCAGTCACATAGAGATATGCCCTTGTAGCAGCAGAGTTAAATAAGATCCCAAAAGTCACGAGACAAGGCAATGGCTAAATTGCCTTAATTAATACCTACAATGTTTTAAATCAGTTTGGTTTTGTTTTGAGGATAAAGAGTAAAAGAACCAAAGAAGACCTGTGTACTCAAAGATAAATAATTAAACACCTAGCTGTAAAAGAGTTAACAACAAATTTGTGCCCTTTATAAATGGAGATCTTGGTATAAGGTCTATTTAGTAACCATCAAAATAATTTAATCCCACTTGGCAAAAGCTAGAAAACATTGATGACTCCTCCCTTCCCCAATTAACTATGTCCTGATTCTTTCCAAACTAAAATCCTACATTCTAATTGGACCCGTAATATACTCTATGTGTGTATAAATATGCACTGATCTACAAATTAGTATCTCTGCTTTCCTCAAATCACTGACCTGCATCCTAAAACTGTGATTTTCAAATCTTGTGGCACAGAATATTTTAAAGGAGAATTCATTAATTCATTCTTTCAACAAATATCTATTGCATGTCTACTATGTTTTAGTGGACTGTGCTAAGGAATAAGCATATAGAAGGAGGAAAAATTGGCATGTTCCCTGCCCTCAAAAGCTTACAGTCTATTGAGGAGACAGACATCAATCAAAAGATCACACATATAATTTGAAAATTCAAAAGTGATAAGTGTGAAGGTATAAAGTATATGAGGATCTATAACAGAGATCTGGACAAGGTGGGGAGAGGTAAAGCAGAAAAACAAACCAAAAAAAATTTTTTTTCAATATTTTTATCCTAAGAAGCATGGGAAGTCATTAAACTGTTTTGATTTTGGAGGATCTTAAGTGATAAAATGGGCATTTGGCTTGCCAAAGAGGATAAGTTCTGTAAAATTTGTACATGTAGGGATGCAAAATGTAAGGGAAGAACACTAGATCAGAAGACAATTCAGGGATTTAGGGATTATTATTATTATTTAATTGTTTATAAATATTTGAATGACAATTTTAAAGGCTGTTTATGGTACTTCCTAATTTTGTATACAATAAAGTTCTAATCAATAAATTTTGTCTATAATAGAGTTATCTCTGAAATATATACATATATAATAACTTTATTTTATAGGTGATTAGTCACAAAGGTGATAAGAATATATTACAGTTATTTTTTCCCCTTCCTTCAACTAGATCAAACTCAGCTCTGTCAGAGCTGTCCCTAGGTAGATTCTAAATATAAGTGCAGCAGTGGGCAGCTGCTTCTCTCCAACCACATCCATTCCTTACAAAATGCTGAGATGGTGCTTTTTTGCTTTAGTTATTGTTTTCTTCTAATTATGCTCAACTTGAATGGTTATAGGACCTCAAAATATAGCCGTGGAAAGCAACTATGTATAAGAGCATTTAGTAAAGGCCCTGAATGGATGCCTCTCCTAGAAATCACTTTTTAAAAATACCTTGAAGCCCCATATGGAAAAATTCCCAATAGGTTCTAAAGATACTGTTATAAAAAGGATAGCCAGATTGCTGCCTAACACAATCTATGGGGTTGACAGTTAATCCAGTGTAATCATAGAATCATAGATTCATATGTTTAAGGAAACACAGAACCTTAGAACTTTAGAACTGTAAAATAAAACACATTTTAAAAAAAGATTGAAGAAGTTAAAAGTGATCTTAAGACCCATATGCTTCAACTATCTACTCCATATTTGAACTTGATACATCTGAGCCCCTAGGTGGCTGCTAACATTCTGTTTAAATGCATAGAGTTATGGGGGCTTGCTATCTTCCTAGGCAGCCTGCTTCATAGTTAGGCAGCTCTGAATATGGAATGATTATCTGAAAGCAGAGATGGAATCTGACTTCTGGTTGTGCCTACACATTGGTCTTACTTCTATTAACAGGGCTATAAGTGTTCAAGGAAAAACAACAACAAAAATCCAAGATCCTTTGGATTAATTTTATTTCCTTCACCCACGGACATAGCAACACTAGGATCCAATCAAGAACATCTGTAATGTTATGTGACCAGGGTCTTAGTTTCCTTCTGATGTCTCCCAATCATTTTTCTGTATAAGAAATCTGAGTTAACCCCGTTTCCTTCTTCTCCTTACTTCTATGCATGATAAGGGAAATTTGTTGAGTGCATTCAGTGTTCTATTCCCTATTTAAGGACTTTGTGGATGTAACTCATTTCTCACAATAACACTATGAGATA